TGAGCCACTGCACCCAGCCCAGGCTTTCTTTTTAATTACATCCCTACTACCTTCAGCTACGCAGAATTTCTGGGAAGAAACTCCCACAACCTCCCTGAAAGGGAGGACTGCACTTTGTTTTCATCTTTGCCTCTCTAGCCTCTAACACAATGGTTTCTCAAACAGGGGAGACTTCCCCCCACCCCAGGAGACATTTGGCAATGTCTGGAAATGTTTTTGGTTGTCATAGTTTCTGCTGGCATCTAGTAGGTGGAGGCCAGGGAGGCTGCTAAACAGCAAATTACCTGGTCCCAAAATGTCAGCAGGACCACAGTAGAGAAGCCCATCCTAACACAGTGTCTGATGCTGGTGCCCACTCAGGGCACGTTTGAGGAGGGAACGCAAGCCTTGAGTCACAGCTCCATGTATCTGCTGTTCCCATTGCCTGGAAGATCTTCCCCTCTTCCCTTCTACTTTAGCAAATTCTCTTTTCTCTTTTAAGACATAGACTCAGTATCACCTTCAGGGACAGCCCCTCTCTACACCAGAGCTTGGGATCCTCTCCAGGAAGCCCCCAGGGCTCCTAGGGCTCCATACCCATGGTGATGCCAGCACTTACCCCACAACACTTGCTGGCTGGGCTAGTGTTGGGCTATAGTCTGCTCCCCAGTGGCTCATGAAGCCCACAGGAGACACAAACGCCATCTTGTTTATTTCTGTTTTCCCAGAAGCTGGTGCAAGGCCTAGAGCCTAGTTGGTTCTGGATAAATGTTTGCTTTAGCTAGCAGGCTGGATGGGTGGATGAGTGATTGGATGGATGGATGGATATTTTGGTAAATGAATGGATAGATGAGTGAATGATGGATGGATGGATGGATGAGTGGATGGATGGATGAGTGGATGGATGGATGGATATTTTGGTAAATGAATGGATAGATGAGTGAATGATGGATGGACAGATGGATGAATTAATAGACATTTTGGTAAATAAATGAATGGATAGATGAGTGAATGGGTGGATGGAGGGATGGATGGGTGGGTAGATGGATGAATGGATGGATGGAGAAGTGGATGGATGGGTGGATATATTCGTAGATGATAGATAGATAAATAGATAGACAGATAGAGAGTCAGGAGACCTGACTACAGTATTTCATTTGCCACATCATATCCACTATATGACTCTTGAAAGGTCAAGTAGACTCTCTGGGATTTGCTTCCCCAGAGAGAATGCAATGATTTGAGAGAGCAATGGTTTGTTTTCAAACTGTGTTGTGAGGTTCTTAAGAATTACTGTTTTTTTTTAAGATATTTTTACTTCTCCAAATTTGTTATTTATCAGGAGTGATTGAAATAAAAAATATAATTTAGTCTCATCATCATCATCATGGAAATAGCTTTAAGAGAAAACTGGGCTAGGCGCAGTGGCTCAGTCCTGTAATCCCAGCACTTTGGGAGGCTGAGGAGGGCAGATCACTTGAGGTCAGGAGTTTGAGATCAGCCTGGCCAACATGGTGAAACCTCATCTCTACTAAAAATACAAATATTAGCTGGGTGTGGTTGTGGGCACCTGTAATCCCAGCTACTTGGGAGGCTGAAGCAGGAAAATCACTTGAATCCAGGAGGTGGATGTTGCAGTGGGCAAAGATCATGCCATTACACTCCAGCCTGGGCAACAGAGGGAGACTTCATCTCAAAAAAACAAAGAAAAAAGAGAGAGAGAGAGAAACTAGCCAGATGAATATTATTGCTTCCCATTTTCAACCAGTAAACAGTTGCCACTGATAAATTGACAGCCAGGACTCTGTCAAGAATGCTCAAGCAATGTTATGTAATACAACACATCTGTTCACAGGGGGAATAAATCCTAGGAAATATGGCCCTGGGGCTGCCATAGGGAATGTCTTGGATACCTAAGAGAATGGTTGCCAGATGAAAGATAGCTACATTTAGATTTCAGAAAAACAACACTAATCTTTTAGTTTACGTTTTAAATATTATATGAGGCATGCTTATACTAAAAAAAAAAAAAAAATGTGTTCCTTATCTGAAATTGAAATTTAACTGGGCATCCTGCAATTTTACTGCCTACATCTGATGATGCTACCTGAAATGGAGGGGAGGAGAAATTGAATGTTTCCATGTTTCTCTCATTTATATGGAGTTGGCCCTTTGTATCCGTGGGTTTTGTATCCATGGATTCAACCAACCGTGGACTAAAAATATTTCAAAAATAAAATAGATGGCTGCATCTGTTCTGAGCATGTACATACTTCTTTTCTTGTCATAATTCCCTAAACAGTATAACAACTATCTACATAGCATTTACATTGCATTCAATATTAGACGTGATCTGGAGAGGTGGTTTAAGGGTACAGGAAGACGGGCATGGGTGCTAGGCAAACACTACACCAGTTTCTGTCGGGGATGTGAGCATCCCTGGAGTTTGGTGTCTTTGGGGTTCCTGGAGCAAACCCCTCAGCAGTACTGAGGGACAGCTGTGCTGTGTAAGGTTCTGAGGCAAAATTTGAAACCTGCTGGCAGAAAGGATCTCCAGGTCCTTCGTAGCAGCCCTCCAGGACCTGTGAAGCTGGTGGAAGGAGCCCTTGACCCAGGTAGCATGGCAAGCCGCAGAGGTATTCTCAGACACTGGAGCCCACCCTACCCAGCCCTGCTCTATGCTGAGGCCTCCTCTTCCAGTCCCACCAAGTCTCCAGCTGGTTTCAAGGGCAGAGGAGGAACCTAGGTCTGGAGCTCCCGAGGACAATTCCAGGCCCTTTGGTCTGCAGCCCAGCTCTGCTTTGAGAGGACGGGTAGAGCAGTGGACTAAAAAGTCAACAGCAAGAAGCCATCACAAAGCCCTGTGTGTCTGTGAATTTTTACCCACCCTCAGGAAACCAACAACTAAAGGTTTGCAAAAATCACTGGCCTCTGAAAAGAGTTCCAGCTGGAAGGCCAAGCGGTGTCAGAAAACCTAAGCTTAGCAAGGTGGCTGCCTATGGGCACAGACAGGCCAGCGGGAAGCTGATTGGCCTCCTCAGTTATGGGAACAGAGGCCAGAAGGAGCTGCCAGCCTGGCTCCCCTCACCTGGTCCTCCATAGCCAGGTCCTCCCCAGCCCGGTTCCTCTGATCCTGGCTCCCCCAAGCCCGGCCCCCACCAGTCTGGCCCTCCCCAGCCCGGCTCCCCACAGCCAGGCCCTTCCCAGTTGGTCATCCCCATCTGAGGGCTCTGGGCTGACACCTGCCACCAATGTCCCCTCTAGCAGCCGCGGGATTTCTGAAACCAAAGCTCTGACAGATGCTCCCTTTGGCAGCTGTAAATACCTGCCGAAGCCCTGCTCTGTGACAGGGGCTGTGCTGTGAGGCACCCGCACCTGATCCCTGACCCCAGGGGAGTCTCAGCAGTACTTCAGGGTGAGCCAGAGCAGGAGTCAGCTTGAGAAAGCTTGGGAGGCTCTCCGGAGGAGGCGGCTTCTAAGCCGGGTCCTAAAAAAGGAGAATCCTGGCCAAGTGTTGGGAGAGATGGGGGCTACAGCAGGCAGCCCAGCGCCGGAGGAGGCCGGAAGCTCAGGAATGGAGAAGGATGCTCCAATCTGCAGATGGCCTGGGCGGTGGGGGGTGAGGGAGGAAGAGGAGGTGGCAATGACCCCTTTTTCCTGACTTACGGGGCTCGGTGGGTGGGAGCTGTGGGCTGGATTGCAGCAGTCTGGGGAGTACGGCGCTCGGAGAAATATTCCAAATGCAGTGAGTTCAGTGCCCTCACAGCCTCCTGAAGGGCCTGCCCAGAGAGCGGAGGATGCTCCCCCACCCCTCCCAGGCGCACGGCCTGACCGCCCCCACCCCCGTTAGAATTGCATGGGGAGCTTTGGGGAAGCCCAGCCTCAGGCCTCACCTTCAGGGTCTGGGGCAGGAGCCAAGCATGGGTGGTTTTCACAGCTCTCCCCAGATTCCAACGTGCAGCCAGAGTGGGGAGCCTGAGGTAGGAGCCCATGCTGTGGCCCCGTGGGAACTGACCCACAGCCAGACAGATGCTCTGGGCTCAAACAGCCCAGCCCTTCTTCCTCAGGCCCACGGACAAATGATGAATGCTGTGTGTCTGTCTTCCTGGTTACGCCCCCAGGCAAGCTAGGGGAAGCCAACATGACCCTCACTCTGGGCAGCCCAAACCCAGATCCTCCCTGCCAGGGTCTGGGTCCCCGAGGCGCCTCCCTCCCAGCCCCCCAGCCCTGTTTCCCTCAGCTGCCACCAGCACTTAGGTTGAAGGCAGTTGTCACTCTCAGCGTGGGTTTCCCTCCACTGTCCCTATTCCGGGACTGAATGGTCTTTCTCTGCTGAGTTGGAGGTAATGGGAAGCAAGCCTGACATTGAAGGTCTGCTTGCCCTGAATAGATAAATCAAACCCGAATCCGGCCAGGGCTTTCGCTGTGCAGGTGTGGATAAGCACCCACAGTTAAGGTGGGATTCGCAGCACCAGACACGTTCTCCAAAAATAGACTTAATAACAGATGTGGTATGCAATTATTATTTTTCTTTGGGATCTTTAAAATTCCTTCTCACAGAGAGATATTTTTGCTTGGTCAAAAATACCCTCCAGGAGCCCAAAAACTCATTTGCATTATAGTGGAGATGTGGGCCTCGCAGCCTTGGCTGGCAGTGTGACCGGGGTGGGCTTCTGTGGGGTGGAGCCGCTGTGTGTGCTGGGGGCGCTGAGGGGCCGGGATGCAGGATCCAGGATCCAGGGAGCAGGGCCCCCCTCCACCTCTCTCCCCTCCCCCAGCCCAAAGGTGAGCAAGAACCCAGAACCCACAGGAAAACAAAGGAGCTAAAATCAGCCCTGGGGGTGCTGCCAAGAGCAGAGGAAAAGAACAAGAGGCGTTATCTTTGAGAAGGAGCTGGGTGACCTTTCAGCAGGTGTGCAGCTCAGCCGAGGCTCCTGGTGCTATGGGTTGAATAAAGGAATGAGGCAGTCCTATACTCCGATACTCCAGAATATGGCCTTATTTGGAAACAGGGTCTTTGCAGATGTAGTTAGTTCAGATGAAGTTATCCTGGAGTGGGTGGGCCCTAACCCCATGTCACTGGTGTTCCTATGAGGGGAGACACGCAGAGATACCCAGGAGAAGACGGTTCCATGACATCGGAGGCAGAGGTTGGCCCCAAATTGCCAGCAGCCACCAGGAGCTGGGAGAGGCAAGGGAGTGATCCTGCTCCAGATCCTCTAGAAAGAGCCCGCTCTGCTGCCTTTTGCTCTAGGCCTTCCGGCCTCCAGGACTGTGAGAAATGAGTACCTGCGGGTCAAGCCGTGGCCTGCGGGATTTGGCTCGGCAGGCCCAGGACACTGGCACACCCGGTCTCTCCACCTCGCGGCAAGGCTGGGCCTGCCCATCTCTGGCTGTACCCTGGGGGTGATTCACCGGCACCCCGTATTACCCATGCTGCTCTCCTCCTGACCAGAACGGTGGTCCCTGCCCTTCTGTCTCCTCTCAAGGGGAATCCAGGGCTTCCAGGAAGGAACGCCGCCGTCTCTAGCAGCCAAGAGAACTGGGCTCTGAGCCAGATTTCCCGCTTCCCAGCGCGGCAGGCCATCTGTGGCAAGTCCCCTAGACACTCAGTTGCAGCTCCTTCATCTGTAGAGTGGGGCCATGAGCACACAGGAATGTTGCAAGCTTGTGCAACCCATGGGCTGCAGGCAACGTGGCCCAGGACGGCTTTGAATGCCACCCAACACAAATTCATTAAACTTTCTCTTAAAACATGATGAGATTTATGTATGGGCCTTTTGTTTGTTTGTTTGTTTGTTTTTTTAAACTCGTCAGCTATCATTCGTGTTTGTTTCATGTCTATGTATTTTATGTGTGACCTAAGACAATTCTTTTTCTTCCAACATGGCCCAGGGAAGCCACAGACTGGATACCCCGGTTTAGAGGATGGAAGGCAACAGTGGGAGGGGCCTCTCCCACCTCCATGGCGAGGCACCCACCGACTCCACCTGGAGATGGAACCCTGCTTCCTGTTCCCCACGCCTGGGAGAAGCGAACACACAGGTGGGCGGGTCTGATAGAAAGCTGTTTCCACTCTGCCCTGTTTTAGCTAGTCCCCCATTGGGTCTGGTGTCCAAGCCCTGCCTCCAGAGTCCAGTCCCACTTCCTACCTCACTTGGAGAGAACGTGGGAGGGGCGCACTCCTTGAGAAGTGACAGGGCAGCTTGGGACCACTTCATCCTCGAGCACAGCTTGTACCAAAGCAGGGTGGGGGTGGGTGAGGGTGGGTGCTGAAGGCTAGGGCCCTGAGGGTCCAGCTCACTAAAGTGTGCCCACCTGTCTCCGGCACTGCCTCCACCTCTGAAAGCTTCCCTCCACGGACCAGTGTCATCTCGAAGAGGACCTGTGATTGCTTTATTTTGTTTAAATGCATTCTCTCCACCTGCCCTGTTCACAAATGCTAGTTGAGTGAGAAGAGACACGGGTTAGTAACACACAAGCCAGCCACCTCTTCCATGATCCTGGTTCTGTAGCAGGGGACTGGACAGGTCCTGGCTGCACTGAGCTACTTACTGGTAAAGAGGGCAGTGAAGCCTCTCAAGTGAAACCACTCAAGCCTCTGACTCAGGGTGGTACTAGAGGGGAAACCCAAGTCCAGTGGCAGCCCTGGCTTATTAGAGATGCACTCTTGGCCCTCACCCATGGAGGCAGAATCTGAGGGTGGGGCTGGCCTCTGCTCAGGAGCCCCTGGGTGCTTCTGACATTCGCTCCCAGGGATCCCCTGCCTGCCTTGTTTCACACCTTGTTTTGTGCACAAGGGGACCTCATGACACCACCCCTCCAGCTCTCAAAGGACGGTCCCCAGTGCAGCCCTGGAAGGTGGCTCAACAAAAAA